TATAACGGCTAATTTTGAAAAAAAGGATGTTTTTGTAAATTAGCCATTTTTACAAGAAGGACCATTTTAAAAGATCTTGTTTTTTCTGAGCCCTGTATTCATTTTGAGTTAATTGTCTTTTTTTCTTTTCTTAAAAAGCTGACCAGGCAATTTGTAGTATTTCAACTCAGCTCTGCATTTATTGCTTACACATGTTTGCTAGAGTCGACTTTACACATTTTCTAGATCATTTAACTTCAGGAAGATTTTTTGAAGGGAGGGGGGTGGGACGTCTCCCATCCTGTTTTTATCTTTATTTGCTATCAATAAAAAAAAGATAGTGAAAAGCTGAAAACATCCCTTCTAATTTTCCTGTCCTTTATTTTCTTCTTTTTTCTTGTTTATCTCGTTTTTGCACTTTAAGACCTTTCCAAATAGTCCTTTGAACATCAAGTTGTGCATGCTTTGCATTCCCACGAGGGGTTAAACTCCTCTTTCAGTGCACCAAGCTGAAGATGAAGTTTTGTTTTAATCAATGTACAATTCTTGCTTCCCCTGTAGGATACCAGATGCGTAACTAAACTCTGCGCTTCCCCAGCTGCAATTCTGGGATTGCATAGTAGGTCCGTTCTGCTTGAGAGAAAGCAGGCAGCTGTTTTATTACTATGAATACTATTAGATGAAGTTGTTGTTTAAAATTACAATGGTTTACACCATCAGATAGATTTAAAGATATATACGAGTAATCTAGTTCTTTTGATAAAGAATAACTAGACATGAGTGGAGAAATTAGTTATTTTACTGATACCTTCCTTAGAAACTAAGTCTTCGCAACAATTTTAAAATCCTTATAACTTTGCCACATGATGGTGTAAACTTTTGATATTTTAAACTTAGACTATTTGATATAACAGAATTCATAGTTTGAAAGATTGGAAAATCAGAGTTTGTAGAAAAGACTCAATTCATTTTAAATGCAACTATTATTCTTTGATGCAATAAACCTTTCTTTGTGATTTTTACACTTAAACAACTAAAGATTGGAGCATTTTAACATTTTAGTATTCTGCGAGTTTTTTAAGAGCTACAGCAATGCCCAAAAAGAAACTAATCAAAACTATTTTTAAACTTGCTATCAGTCAGTATTGTTGACATCATATTTAAAATTACAATTAATTTTTTTTAATTTAATAAATACATTCATTACAAAATAAAATAGTGATGGAGGGAGAGGGGATTCAACCACATTGTAATGTAAATAAACTGTGTTAAACTCCTAAATGTTGCAAACCTATACCTATAGAATGGCGCAGGTAAACAAGTGAAAACTAATAAATCAAACAATAATAAAATATAGAATAAAAATTATATGTATTAAAAAGATAAAAATTCACAAAACAAAAGTTGAAATTGAATATTTTTGTTTAGAAACTGTTTCAAGAATGAGGGAATGGACTGGATAGAGTTTGAAAGTATGAATGTGGCTAGTGCATACTTTACCCTGACTACACTAGGAGACAAGATACTTGCTGCAGGCGGATATGATTCACAGGAGTACGTTCTTTGTTTATTCTTATTTGTTTTATAACCCTTTTTGATGTTATTGATCATCTAGCTTTCTTTCCTATTAAAAAAATGGATGTTTCTAAATTAAAATATTGAATTATTTTATAAACATTCTCATAAACTGGAATACTTCAGTCAAACCCCTTCACATGTTTCAGTTAAAATTATATATTTGTTTACTAGGAGGACTGCTACTGTGGAGGTGTTTGATGGATCCTCTTGGAAGCTTCAAAACTATGAATTGACATCTCCAAGATATCAACACTGTGCTGTTCCTGTCAGGTATACGCTATATTTTGACTCCAAGAAGTTCGTATACATAACAGCGATTAAAACATATTGGGGGAAATTTATGTTCGAAAGCGGGGGGTGGGGGCAAGAGTAGAAGGTTGTGCTTTTTTTGCATGGTATGAAGATTTGAAGATTTAATATAAATTAACATATTCTCATTCATACTATTTTACAGGATTCAGAGTTTGTAGACGACAAGGTGGGTCGTAGGTCAACCGGGCACCTAGATGACCTGGGTGAACAAGTAGCCAATATTAAAGCAAAGAACAGGAAGATTGAGGAGGAAATAACTTGGGTGTCCTGGAGATCATCACCCAACAAGAAGTCCAAGATAGATGAGTAGAAAACTAAGAGCTTGGAGGCAAAGAACAGAAAACGTGCGAGTAGAGGGAATGGCGGAAGGAGGGAGGGGGTGCAGAGGCGCCATGAGCCCAACAAAAATTACCTCCGAGCCTCCAAGGCCCGCAAAACCATCTCCTTGCCTCTTATTGGGTCCCTTCCACTAGTCCGGAGGCTACCAGAGGTAAATTGTTTTCAGCAGAGGGAATACACAATTGTGATGTAATAGTAATTACTCCACTGGAGGAATGATAATTAACACTCAGAACACTATTTACTCCACTTGAGGAATGGTGATTAACATCCAGGTCACTAATTACTTCATCAGAGGGACTTTAATTAACACTTGGGACACTCAGAGAGGTGGTTATTAACACTCAGGGCACTAATTACTCCATCAGAGGGATAGTAATTAACTTTGAGGACACTAATTAGTCCATCGGAGGGATGGTAATTAACACGCAAGACATTTATTTCTCCATCGGAGAAACAGTAATTAACACTCAGGAGACAAATTAGTCCATCAGAGGGATGGAAATAAACACTTGGGACACTAATTATTCCATACAAGGGATGGTAATCAACACTCAGGACACTAACTACTCATCAAAAGGATGGTAATTAACACTCAGGACATTAATTACTTTATCAGAAGGATGGCCATTAACACTCAGGACACTAATTACTCAATCACTGGGATGAGAGTTAACACTCAGGACACTAGTTACTATCCCTCTGATGGAGTAATTAGTGTCGAAAATGTTAATCCCCATCCTTTTAATGGAATAATTAGTGCCCTGAGTGTTAATTACCATCTCTCCATTGGAGTAATTAGTGTCCTGAGTGTTAATTACCATCCCTCTGATGGAGTTATTAGTGTCCTGAGTGTTGAAAACCATCCCTCCAATGGAATAATTAGTGTCCCAACTTTAATTAACATCCCTCCGAGAAGTAAATAGTGCCCTGAATGTTAATTACCACCCCTCTGGTGGAAAAATTAGTGTCCTGAGTGTTAATTACCATACCTCCGGCAGAGTAATTAGTATTAAATCACAATTGTACATTCCCTCTGCAGAGATCAAGATGTGGGTCGTGGAGACAAAATGGCGGAGGCTCGGAGCCGCAGCAAGAGGCACAAAGTAGGTTTCACTAGGTCTGGAAGTCATTCTGCAAATATGGTGGCTTGGAGTTAATTTTTGCGGGGCTCATGGCGCAGAGGTTCTAAGAATTAATTTTTTCGTCTCTTTAATTTTTTAGTTTTATAAATAGTTTTTGGTGTCAAAAGTGTTAATATTTATATTTTGCGTCTGACTAACAAGTGATTTTCAATATTTACATATATTTTCCTTGTTTAAATTATTTCTTTGTCTTAATGTTATATACAATTTTTGTGTGCGAAATAAACTTTATTAAGAATAACAATTCCGTCTACAGTCAGTTTCTACTAGATTAAATGAACATTGTTACTCTGAGCAGGGACCTTTGGAATTGTTTGACTCTTGAAAGGAAATGTTGGAATGGAAACAATTCCAAAAAACTTTTTATAAATTTGTCAAATTCGATTTCTTTAAGAGTCTGAAAACGTAATTATAAGTGACACTTCATTGACAATGTGGCATGTACTATTCACAAGATTAATTTCCAGCTTTACAAACAAAGGAGAGAAGTCTCAAAAATTATTACTAAGCTATATAAAGACGCTATCTTTAAGATTAAGGTTTCAAGAGTAGTGTTATGAAACAGTCATTCCTACCTTTTATGGTTCTAACTACTTGAAATTATGTTAACAGTCCCTTTAACAGGTTGAGTAATTACTTTTAAGATAGCACATAATTATTAGAATAAGAATAAGTCTTTGAGGTATTTCAAGGTAATTATAAGTGACCGAACATTGATAAAGTGGAATGTCCAATTAACAACGGTTCCCTCTAAAATAAAAATTAGATTTCAATGGCTTGTTCTTAAAGCTAGTTTTTTTTATGTGTGGTTTTTCTCCAAAAGTGACTATCTTTAAAAATATCGACTTTCGCTTCCATATTTTTGACCAAAGTAAGGGTTAAAGAGTGCTTGTGTGAATTTCATATTCCCCTCTGTAAATGAAGGAACATTTGAAATAACGTTTACATTCTCTTAAACCTGCTAGGTTGAGTAATTTTATTAAGAATTTATTAATAGCTAAAATTGTATAAATTAAAGAAAATAGCTACTTCAGATCTGTCTAATAAACTCGTTGTTCTTTTAACAACTAAACCTTGAAGTCTTTCCAGTCTAGTTCTAGGACTTTATTTCAAATTGAGAAGAGATTAATTACTGCTTTTATGAATTGAAGCAAATACTACTGCTTGTAAGAACGGATGAAGCAAATATTACTGCATATAAGTATAGAAGCAAATACTACTGCTTGTAAGAACATATGAAGCAAATATTACTGCTTACAAGAACAGATACTAATATTACTGCTTTCAAGAATTAAGGATGAAAAGGACGGAAAGAATGAAAAGGATGAAAAGGACGGAAAGGATGGAAAGGACGGAAAGAATGGAAAGAATGGATGGAAAGGATGGAAAGGATGGAAAGGGCGGAAAGAATGGAAAGGATGAAAAGGACGGAAAGAATGGAAAGAATGGAAAGGATGGAAAGGACGGAAAGAATGGAAAGGATGAAAAGGATGGAAAGGATGGGAAGGATGGAAAGGACGGAAAAAATGGAAAGGATGAAAAGGACGGAAAGAATGGAAAGGATGGAAAGGATGGAAAGCATGAAAAGGTTGGAAAGGATGGAAAGGATGGAAAGGATGGAAAGAATGGAAAGGATAGAAAGGACGGAAAGGATGGAAAGGATGGAAAGAATGGAAAGGATAGAAAGGTCGGAAAGGATGGAAAAGATGGAAAGAATGGAAAGGATGGAAAGGATAGAAAGGATGGAAAGAATGGAAATGATGCAAAGGTTGGAAAGGATGGAAAGGACGGAAAGGATGGAAAGGATGGAAAGAATGGAAAAGATGAAAAGGATAGAAAGGATGGAAAGATTGGAAAGGATGGAAAGGATGGAAAGAATGGAAAGGATGGAAAGGACGGAAAGGATGGAAAGGATGGAATGGATGGACAGGATGGAAAGGATGTACTGTCTTGTTGTAGTTTTCTATTTAGAATAAAATAGAATTAGAATAAAATAATTTGATTTTCTGTTATAGAATGTGTGTCAAGATTAATTTTTTTGTTTTTTAACCTGTTTTAGAATGTACGTGTCAAGATTTTATTCTTTTCTTTGAAAATTTAACCTACAAAACAAAAATAATTTATTCGTATTTATTTGGATATTGAACCCGGTGATGAAGACATTGAACTCACCTTTAATTTGATATTGCAAAAGTGTTTAATTTTACAGGAATTTAAAAATAAAAATAACTATTATTATGAATAGAATCTTGAGCTAGAACACTTAAATTTTCTAAACCCTATATCTTTGCAAACTGATGTTGAAAACCTTTGATATTTCAAACTTAGATTATTTGATCTAACAGAATTTATTGCTTGTAATATTCAAAATTTATGACATTGGGTTGCGAGGACTTTGGGATCAGAAAATCAGATCTTGAAGCAAAGACTTAATTCATTTAGATTTAGTTTAGAACAACGCATAAAAGTAACAATTTCTATTTCATGTATCCTATAAAACCATGGGTATCCAGTATCTTAGAATACAAAAAAATTCAGTATCCTGCATCCTAAAATAACAGTCCTCCACTGTTCCGTATCCTATAATACCAATTATCAATCAGTATCCTATGAAACCCAAAAGTCGAGTATTCTTTATCTTTTACCAACCAATTACCAAGTATTATATATCCAGTATCCATCCTATTCCAATTACCAAGTATTATATATCCAGTATCCATCCTATTCCAATTACCAAGTATTATATATCCAGTATCCATCCTATTCCAATTACCAAGTATTATATTTCAAGTATCCATCCTATTCCAATTACCAAGTATTATATATCCAGTATCCATCCTATTCCAATTACCAAGTATCGAATATCCAGTATCCATCCTCCAATTACCAAGTATTATATATCCAGTATCCATCCTATTCCAATTACCAAGTATTATATATCCAGTATCCATCCTCCAATTACCAAGTATCGAATATCCAAAACTTTAATCATGATCAAACCTTATAATATAATTCGAACCAAACTTTGTTTGACTCATGAATAAGAACTTGGGTAAAGGGACTGGAGTCTAATTACTTTCAGTGGCATCATAGCATGGCCGATTCACACCAGTACCCACTTTTTAATGTTCAACAATAATGTGGTTGAGAAATCCTCGTTTTTCCATCTAAAAACCTGTAGAATTCTGTATATTGTGTTCTTTGTCTCTTCTGCATTAAATCCGCAAGTCACTAATTCGAGAAAACACAGTAATCAATATTTGAATAAAAACACAAGAATAATTCCATCAGTTTTGCTCAGAAAAAGCTAGGTTTAAAGGATGCCTTTTTCAATTCACGTCTTGAAATGGAGGGTCACTTGAAATTAGGTCTTTTTTTGATTTTTTATACATTTGTTGCGACTGCTTACTTTTAAAATGATTAAATATTGAAGAGAATTCTGGGTCACTTCGTCCCCCTTTCCTGTTGCTCTCAAAGTCGGCCTTTTCAATCATTTTCAA